CAAAACTGGAAATGATGTCTTGAATCAGACAACTCAAAACTGGAAACTAACGCTGGAATCAGACAACTCAAAACTGGAAATGATGTCTTGAATCAGACAACTCAAAACTGGAAATGATGTCTTGAATCAGACAACTCAAAACTGGAAACTCAAAACTGGAAATGATGTCTTGAATCAGACAACTCAAAACTGGAAACTAACTCAAAACTGGAAATGATGTCTTGAATCAGACAACTCAAAACTGGAAATGATGTCTTGAATCAGACAACTCAAAACTGGAAATGATGTCTTGAATCAGACAACTCAAAACTGGAAATGATGTCTTGAATCAGACAACTCAAAACTGGAAATGATGTCTTGAATCAGACAACTCAAAACTGGAAATGATGTCTTGAATCAGACAACTCAAAACTGGAAATGATGTCTTGAATCAGACAACTCAAAACTGGAAATGATGTCTTGAATCAGACAACTCAAAACTGGAAATGATGTCTTGAATCAGACAACTCAAAACTGGAAATGATGTCTTGAATCAGACAACTCAAAACTGGAAATGATGTCTTGAATCAGACAACTCAAAACTGGAAATGATGTCTTGAATCAGACAACTCAAAACTGGAAATGATGTCTTGAATCAGACAACTCAAAACTGGAAATGATGTCTTGAATCAGACAACTCAAAACTGGAAATGATGTCTTGAATCAGACAACTCAAAACTGGAAATGATGTCTTGAATCAGACAACTCAAAACTGGAAACTAACGCTGGAATCAGACAACTCAAAACTGGAAATGATGTCTTGAATCAGACAACTCAAAACTGGAAATGATGTCTTGAATCAGACAACTCAAAACTGGAAATGATGTCTGGAATCAGACAACTCAAAACTGGAATGATGATGTCTTGAATCAGACAACTCAAAACTGGAAACTAACGCTGGAATCAGACAACTCAAAACTGGAAATGATGTCTTGAATCAGACAACTCAAAACTGGAAACTAACGCTGGAATCAGACAACTCAAAACTGGAAATGATGTCTTGAATCAGACAACTCAAAACTGGAAATGATGTCTTGAATCAGACAACTCAAAACTGGAAATGATGTCTTGAATCAGACAACTCAAAACTGGAAATGATGTCTTGAATCAGACAACTCAAAACTGGAAACTAACGCTGGAATCAGACAACTCAAAACTGGAAATGATGTCTTGAATCAGACAACTCAAAACTGGAAACTAACGCTGGAATCAGACAACTCAAAACTGGAAATGATGTCTTGAATCAGACAACTCAAAACTGGAAATGATGTCTTGAATCAGACAACTCAAAACTGGAAACTAACGCTGGAATCAGACAACTCAAAACTGGAAATGATGTCTTGAATCAGACAACTCAAAACTGGAAATGATGTCTTGAATCAGACAACTCAAAACTGGAAACGATGTCTTGAATCAGACAACTCAAAACTGGAAATGATGTCTTGAATCAGACAACTCAAAACTGGAAATGATGTCTTGAATCAGACAACTCAAAACTGGAAATGATGTCTTGAATGAGACAACTCAAAACTGGAAATGATGTCTTGAATCAGACAACTCAAAACTGGAAATGATGTCTTGAATCAGACAACTCAAAACTGGAAATGATGTCTTGAATCAGACAACTCAAAACTGGAAATGATGTCTTGAATCAGACAACTCAAAACTGGAAACTAACGCTGGAATCAGACAACTCAAAACTGGAAATGATGTCTTGAATCAGACAACTCAAAACTGGAAATGATGTCTTGAATCAGACAACTCAAAACTGGAAATGATGTCTTGAATTGAATCAGACAACTCAAAACTGGAAATGATGTCTTGAATCAGACAACTCAAAACTGGAAATGATGTCTTGAATCAGACAACTCAAAACTGGAAATGATGTCTTGAATCAGACAACTCAAAACTGGAAATGATGTCTTGAATCAGACAACTCAAAACTGGAAATGATGTCTTGAATCAGACAACTCAAAACTGGAAATGATGTCTTGAATCAGACAACTCAAAACTGGAAATGATGTCTTGAATCAGACAACTCAAAACTGGAAACTAACGCTGGAATCAGACAACTCAAAACTGGACATGATGTCTTGAATCAGACAACTCAAAACTGGAAATGATGTCTTGAATCAGACAACTCAAAACTGGAAACTAACGCTGGAATCAGACAACTCAAAACTGGAAATGATGTCTTGAAACTCAAAACTGGAAACTAACTGTCTTGGAATCAGACAACTCAAAACTGGAAATGATGTCTTGAATCAGACAACTCAAAACTGGAAATGATGTCTTGAATCAGACAACTCAAAACTGGAAATGATGTCTTGAATCAGACAACTCAAAATGGACATGATGTCTTGAATCAGACAACTCAAAACTGGAAATGATGTCTTGAATCAGACAACTCAAAACTGGAAATGATGTCTTGAATCAGACAACTCAAAACTGGACATGATGTCTTGAATCAGACAACTCAAAACTGGACATGATGTCTTGAATCAGACAACTCAAAACTGGAAATGATGTCTTGAATCAGACAACTCAAAACTGGACATGATGTCTTGAATCAGACAACTCAAAACTGGACATGATGTCTTGAATCAGACAACTCAAATACTGAAACAAACTTAAGAATCAGATCTATAAAATAACTGTAGAATTGGCTTCACCAGATCTAGAAACCCTCCTGCAGAATTGACTTCTGCAATCTGGAATTCAGCTTTTGAATTGGCTTTCTCCTATGATCAGGAAAACAACTGTGGAAAATTTGTTGAGGACATAGCTTGATGTATTCATCAACCTTTACTATTATGGCAGAATCGTATTGTACAGAACACATCAGAACAGCTTCATTGGTTCATTAAAATCTAACAATGAATTAAAAGCTATGTTGATGTTTTTAGATACTGTTTTCAATTGGATTTGTGAAGGAGTGCATCTAATGATGTAAATCAACGTACAGATTTTTTTTTTAAGACTTGCTTTTCCTTAATAAAGGTCTGGGACAGATGAGTTTCATTAGAATCGTGTAATATTTTTTTCACCTTGTTAGAAACTTTAAGAGATAATGGAAGCACTGTATATGTCACGTTCTGATGAATTACACCAGGAGAAATGGGCCAGGGCAACTTGTTAAAATGAACGATCGGTTCACTCTTAATCTGTTTTACAAGAAGCTTCCTGTGAGCCTTTTTTCAAAGAAATTTGAAATGAATCATCCATGGAGTGTGTGATGTAGGAGAAAACCCTGCTTTTTAATAATACGTCACTATAACACATTTATTGATACTTTCACCATGGATTTAAACTTATCATGGTTACACAATTCAATACACATCTGTTAAAAAATTGAAATGTGTGAAATATGGAATGATTTACTGATTAAAACTCCATTCCTACGTCAGAGAACACTGTCTTTTTGAAGATTTTTACAAGTTATAGGAGACACATATCTGTTCTCACTGGTACATCAGACTTTATAAAAAGGAAATTTAGATGTCTTATTTAAGGATATATGGTATATTGTACCTTACATATGATGCCAATGATTTTGTATAGCATTATCTCCCTTAGTAATGTATGTTTCATCACACAATACATCTGTGCTTATAGGGTGTTTCTCTTCTTAAAGGTGTATGCTACCTTCTGTGTTGACTAATGTAAGGCAGGGCCCTTTCTGACATCTGTCCGTGTTCTAAGTCAGTTTCACAGAGAATTTTTATCTTGTGAAATAACAGTTTCAGTTGAAGATACATTTTCATTACTGATCTTGTTGTTTGTTTTTTTGGGGTTTATTGCCTCATAAACAGCCAGGGTCTATTTGTGGTTGAGTCTCCTTGTAGTAGCTGGTAGCTTTCTCACTGAACAACATACAGGAGGCCCATGACATTCCAATCAGAGGCAACAGGGTAAAATTTCTTACCCAAAGACAACCATGTCAGCACAGACCAGTCTGTTTCTCAGTTTCCTAAGACACATAAACCATGACAGATAGGGAGGGTTGAACCACATGTCTTAGATCTTCACCTGGGGTTAGGTAGGACAACACTGTCAACAACTGAGCTCTCACAGCTCCTGGATAGAAGCCTTAACAAGAATGTTTGTATAATTGATGGGGCTATTTGTTTATTGGTTCCAGACTGTCTAAGGTTTTGATATAAAAAAATTCACAATATTTCCATCCATTGTTTTACGAGTCTGTATAGTGTAATTTGACCAACTTAGGGTTTCACTTTATGAAGAAGCTACAGACAGTATCTGACAAAATGATATTTTTCATTTCCCATGGTAGGGAAATGACAAAATGATATCGTCGTTTTCCATTACTAATCGCTTAATGCAGACACAAACTTGGGAAGAGGATTCACCCTAAAGACTTAGGATAATCTGATGTATCAGTCAGGTTTAACCCCTGAAGACTGAAAACGAGACATTTATATAAAAATATTATATATTTGCTACTTTGCTAAAAGAATTATAACTTCCGATGATATAGATAAAAACAAATTCAGAGAGGAATGGTCACAGTGTGGAAATAATTTCATGAAACAATCTAAACTCCCTCTTATTCAATTAAAAGAATTTTCCTTTAGCCTCCTCTGACCTTAAACAGAAACTCCCTCTGTCCCTTTTTTATCTTAAAAGGAAATTTTCTCTAGTTTCTTCTAACCCTAGATGGTGTTACCCAAAACGAAATTCCTTTCAGCTGTTGTGGCCCTTGAAGTAAATTCACTTTTTATCGAAAAGGAAGTTTCAGATGAAAAAAAAAATTACCAATCTGTAATTATTGTCTTTTTCACATATATCATTTATAATTTTAGGGTACAATTTAATATAGTTAATTGTGTCAGTAATGCCTTGTAACTATGTGTTAAAATTTGTGTATTATCTTCACACAGAAATGACACCATATCATTTCAATTAACATACATTTAATCTTCTTTGTTTTTCACTTACAGGTGCAGATGGATGTTGATGTGAAGTTTGTACAGGATCATTTAAAAGGTGATAATATCACAGAATTAAGACTAAAATTCCTACGCAGATTGGAGGATGCTATACCTGTCGGGGAGGATTGAGGATTTTTGTGCCGCAAAATGTATTTTAATTACATGTGAATTTTTTGGTGTAGACGGCTAGCTGTGAGGGAGAACTCTTCAACTGCAGGAACTTCTGTTTGGTAGTGATCAATGGTGGACAAGACTGCCTACTTATGTTGGTCAGTTTGGTCAAAATAAGTCTATTACTTTTGATTTAGCAGGCCCATTTGGATGATTCTGTTGAGTCCAAAACCGTGATAGATCGAACACTGTATAATGAGGACTATTCATTAAATGGAGGTTTCATGAACTGTGAAAGTGCTCATAATGTTAGACAGTTTATTTAACAAAATTGCTCTAGAATTAGATTATTTTGTAAATTTTGCAAGAAGGTTTTGTAAAATGTGCTGTTATGTGCATTATATGATAAAGCATTTGACGGACTATTTAAACATTTCAGGAGTACATTGTATTCAGTTTTCATCGTAAGAAAGCTTTCAAGTGGCATTCTTATCCTTTTAATTTATTTTATAAACTAATACAACATTTATATGTAATGTTTTTAAACTTTAAAAACAAATAGATTTCAAAATAAAATGCCTTTTCAAACTAAGGTAAACAAGCTAGGGTTATGCATTTTAGTCCTAAAATCACTACAGACTCTGCAACAGGTTTCTGGAGTAACAGAGAACTTTGACCTTGCCAGTATTTGATCCTGATTTTAAGAGTTGAACAGAGGACACTAAAATCGGGAGATGGTGGATTAGCATGACCCCAGAGAAGATTGGCTTTACTGGAGCTTCCATCAAGCTGCAATGTGATTTGTACGAGTAAAAAATTCCCACTGACAACCCATAACTGGATTTTGTGGGATGTTGATGTCTTTCGTGTGTCCAGTTTATTGGATTAGCATTGGTCCAGATGCGTTTGGCTGGTGATGGATAGCTTTATCTCATCTGTTGCAGAACTAAATTATTTCAAACTTTGTTAGCTTCATGAAAAAATATTTCACCAATTTATAACAAAACAAAAAGAAACTGATTTCTAATTTTTTTTTTTTAAATTCTTAGTGTAAAATGTATGAGTAGTTTAATCAATTTGTTTGTTAAATCACAATTTTTGATAAACGTATGTTCTTCAGAATTGTTTTTGATCAATCTGTGTTCAGTCAACTGTATATTAGGACCAAGCCTTCATCTCAAGGATTGGAAAATGTACAAGTTTGTTACCAAAGTAAATGTAATTAACACCCACAATCTATTTCTCTGATAAACACTTCCTGTTGCCGACTTTCTGAAGAGTTGATCTGGAATGTTATGTATATAATGTAAGATATTATCACTAATAATATGCAAATGAGTTCCTCATATCGTCCCGGTAACAAAGCTCTGTACCATTCTCCTGAATTTTGATTACAGGTAACTTCCAATTTCAGTTTTCACAAATTTCAATATTGATAATATAGTGAATTTAAGGGAGAAAAAAAGAAATACAAGACTTACTCACAGTGCAATACCTATGTAATCCAGTGGGCAGTACAGTGAAACCTGTCAGCGATGATCACTTGATATTCTGGTACTGTTTTGAATTCAATATACTACCATATTTATCCACAAATTAGCCCCAATCTTCATTTTTGCAGAATAAGACTGGCCGCTGTGGCCAAGTGATAAAGTCATCTGACCGTCTCTATGACAAACCTTTGGTTGTTTGTGATCCAGCCTTTTTTACCTTGAGTATATTTCTCAAGATGATTTAAAACTTTTTAATCATTCCAGTAAATTTGTAGAAATATGTGTTTTTACCAGTCACTTTGGTAATATATTTGTGTGTAAAATATCTGAACTTTTAATGTTTGAAAGTTTGATAAGAAAATTAAAATAAACATTCACAGAATTATTATCAACACAGGTACGAGTAGTACCATATTTAATGTTGTAAACTCAGCTGTCTATATAGGAAAGCTAATTTATCAACTGTATGTTGTGGCAAAAAAACACCCTACAAGCAAACACTGATATATTGCCTGTGAAAAAAATCTTCAGTTGTGTTATCATATGGGAAAATGTTAATATCTCTCATATGGAATGTTAAATACATATGTTCAACAGAGACAGAAATATTTGGATCACTAACTTTTTGTATTGGTAGTTATTTTGTGGGGTCTGTTTTCACATTTTATTAAGTATGAAACAAAATTGCAAAATGTAGATACCTTGAAAATAAAATTGGAAGAGAAAATCTGGTCTGTTTTATGTATAGAAAGTTTTCCCTTTTCTTTATGTTTTTTTCTGTAAAACCGCAAGAGTTTGAACTATCAAAGAAATAGCAATTTCAATAGGAATAGTAATTGAGTGAAAATATATCAGTTTGAAATGGTTGTGAAGAAATCAACAATATGACCCTGTAATGCTTATACCCAATCACATACATGGTGATCCATCAATATTGTGACCATTTCATGGCCACATAATTTTTTAATACCTTTATATATATTATTCAGCAGGGTATTAGTTAAACCTGCTGTGTCTATAGTTTTGTCTAAGATGAAAAATACAGGAAATATGCACGTTGTCATGACATTATGACATCATCTTTTATGTCACCTGATTGTAGTTTTTTCAAAATGGTGTCACAAAATCAGGAGGCTGGAGAGATAGAGCAACTTGATTTTGAAAGTCATTTGCCAACAATAGTGATATGTATTATGTAAAAGAAGTGCCCATCCGACACAAAACTATCAAAGCAACAAACACAGATTGATAAAGAAATTCCAGCAGACAAGATCTTTGGAAAGCAAAGGACACAAGGACTAAGGACGTCCACAGACTAGCAGGTGGAAGGCAAAAGACACCAGAACTAAGGACGTCCACGGACTAGCAGGTGGAAGGCAAAAGACACTAGAACTAAGGACGTCCACAGACTAGCAGGTGGAAGGCAAAAGACACAAGAACTAAGGACGTCCACGGTCTAGCAGGTGGAAGGCAAAAGACACAAGAACAAAGGACGACCACGGACTAGCAGGTGGAAGGCAAAAACACTAGAACTAAGGACGTCCACAGACTAGCAGGTGGAAGGCAAAAGACACAAGAACTAAGGACGTCCACAGACTAGCAGGTGGAAGGCAAAAGACACTAGAACTAAGGACGTCAACAGACTAGCAGGTGGAAGGCAAAAGACACTAGAACTAAGGACTTCCACAGACTAGCAGGTGGAAGGCAAAAGACACAAGAACTAAGGACGTCCACAGACTAGCAGGTGGAAGGCTAAAGATACAAGAACTAAGGACGTCCACAGACTAGCAGAACATTATATTGGAAACTCCAGAGATGTACAGGTGACATTGAAAATATGGGTTCTGCTAACTCAAGCTCCAGTTATTGAAGTGTTTACAGAATGTTACGGTTTGACTTGAAGCTGTTTCCAAACAAAGTGCCAGTGTTACAACATTTGGAGGATACCGATGTTACAATGAGTGTAGTTTGCTCATTGGAAGACTGATAACATGGATATCACAGATAGCATATGGTTTTGCAGATGAATCTCACTTTCATTTAAATTCACAACTTAACAAGCCGAATTGTCATGTATAAAGAAAGGAAAAACCAGACTATTGAAAAGAGAAGCTGTTGTATGATGCCAAAGTGACAGGCACTCAGTTCGGTGTAATTAGACCATTTTTCTTTGAATCAGAAGGTGAAATGGCATCAGTAACGAGTGGACAGTATTTAAACTCGTTAAAAAGTAAATTCCTTCCTCCATTCAGAAAGCAAGGTATTGATGTTGGTGTTTGGTTTCAGCAGAATGGAACATTGCCACACACATCAGGAGTAGTGTTAAATTGGCTTCAGGCAACATCTGGAGAAATGTTTCTTTCATACCGGACAAATCATGTATGGCCTCCCTACTCCCAGGATCTGAACCCATTGGACTTTTTTCAGTGGGGTTATATAAGGACAGAGTGTACAACCCCAAGACTGCAAAAAGGAGAGCAGTGTGAAGAATTACGGTTGAAGTCTGCAAGGATGCAATCAATGATTTTAAGAAAAGGCTCAACATTGTCATTTTGCAGAAAAGGATGTCAAATTGAATATATTGTGTGATTTTTGAGAATATTTCCAATTACTTATGAACTCTACGAGAGTGAAGATAAAAGTATGTATTGTATTTCTGTAAAAACTTATTTGTTAACGTGACAATTTTCATTAAACCGTTCAAAAGTGCTGTTGGTACATGAAATGGTCACAGAATTTAGGGATCGCCCAATACTATGATTACAGATTGCAAAGATTTCATCAAATCATGAGAAAAGTCTCAGAATTGTTGACATTGATCTGGTCAAATACCAGCTGCAGCCTGATCTGGTCAAATACCAGCTGCAGCCTGTTTGACAGTTGACATCTTTGATGACCATAGTAAAGAGAGCAGCTATCAGATCCTGGTTGTTCAGAGACCTGATAGAAATTTCCAGTTGTTAAAGAAAATTGAGAAAATTCTTACGGTTTCACACCTGTATTTAGACAGGCCAGATTGATATATTTTGAGTGTTAATTTTGCCTTAAATGCTCTTGTATTTTCAGTGACAACAATTTTTTTTTCACTTACTGCTGGTGAACTCTAACTACATTTCAGCAACCAGTAGTTCACTAGCTATGGCAACTTTAAAATGAAGGATTCCTTCAAGTTAAAATATAAGAGTACATTGTACATGTAACCATGAAGGCCCTGTGTCACACTGTCATTATAAGATTTATCAAAGAAGTATCAAAAACATTCAAAAGAAGAAGTTGCTTTTGGATGAAATTCAAGACCAGTGGTTAACCAGTGTCAGTGTATGGAAATAGTAAATGGACAAACTATAATAAGGGAGGTAACCCTATAAGTGGAGTCTTGATTAGAATTCTTGCGTGATGAATTTAACAGGTGTAATGTTAGTGTTCATCTTAAAGGGGCATTTAATCATTGTTAACACAGAGAGCTTATTTGGTGAAATTTGGTACATACATATTTCTAAGATCTCTTCAGACCTATTTTCCCCAATGTAAATTTTCTGTGTAACAGCTTCCTCCAAATCATTGTTATTTCCCCAAACATTACGTTCATCATTTTTATTGTATAACTGTCACTCTACAGTACCCATTCGCATATTCCTGATATATAAAACATGAACCTAACACATTTGTTTGGCTGATTTCTCTTCAGGATAAAACCCATATAACTGGACATTAGATAAATTATTAACAGGTTTTTATTATTAGTGGCGTGATTCAGCTGTCACCACTAGGTAACGCTACCATCAATATTTATGACATTACGATACCCGTGGTATCGGTAGAAATAATCACCTTCTGTTAACAGTCAGCTGTATTTTCCACGCATCATCAAAACGGCTTTCATGCACCGACAACCTTTATTTTTTATCTATATAACAATCTATTACAGATTAACTACAATGTGGATAGCGTACAATACTTCCTGAATGGTAAGGTGCTTGAGTGTATTCTGACCATATTTTTGCAGAGAATGACTACAGCTGTTGGTTGGTTGACAGGTTTTGTGTCTCCTTGACTCCTCCCGTGTCCGGATATCGTCTTACAGAGACTACAATAATTGTTTTATCAGGTGTGTTTTATATGGCGATTCGATGACTACACAGTCACCTTCATCAGACAAATGGGGAGTGTACTAGCACTGACGTGCATAGTAGTGTACGAGATTGTATGTGCATTTCAGTAGAAAATAGTGATACGTGGTCTGTAAAAAGATCATAACAAAAAAAGTATACAAGATGGCAATAATGTATTGTAGTCGAGTCGGTTACGCTTTGTTTAACACTTGGTCGTAAATGTGTGAGAGTTTGTGGGCCCCCTCGTCCCTGTTTAGTTATGACCCACTGCAGCGTATCCAGATGGTTGTTTCCCTTGTCGACTATTTTGAAATTTCCCCAGTGAATGGTTGGATTTTGCCTTGTGTGGAATGATGTGCGAGTGAGAAGTGGGACTGGGATTGCTTTCGCTCTGATCTGGGTTTTCTGCCTTCTCGGGATTCTGCATCTTTCAGATGTTCATAAAATAAGACCCAGAATCTCCTGTCCGTTTCTCCGATGCAAGATGTGTTCCATTTCTTGCATTCGATCTTATATGCGCTTTCTTCGACGTCCTTTTTAGTGTTTTATCCTACGGAAAGGACAGGTAGTCATCCCTTACATCAAATACCTGTCAGAAACCATTCAGACAATTTACTGTGGTCATGATATTGCAACAGCCATGAAAACTCACAAACTCTCCGAAATATAGTCCATCTTCAGGATAAAACCCCGAAAGAGACCGTCGCGAATAATATAGCATAATCTTAATTCACACTCAAATTCAATGACACAAGGATAAAGAATGAGAACTAGTAATCCGGAAGGATATGCGTCATCTGCTTCTCTGACGACTCTCCTGATGCCGGTAAATCTCGACCAATTCAAGAAAGCAATGACATGTTCCCAAATGAAACTAAAAGCATCAAACACGTTACACAAAAATCGTGATATTGGGAACAAGTCCTCGAATACCAAATAGAGTGTCAGGTGTAAACAGAATGCAGACAGTTCGCTATCTGAAAATGGAAAATACACAATGGGGAAATTGAAGAATCATCACGTTTATCAAACGGCGGAAAGCTGCCCCTGTTGATTTCGTTGTTGGGAAAGATCGGGATAAACCGCTGATGTAGAAGAGTCTTGTCTTTATAGATATATCTCGCAAGGTCATTGTGACCTCTATCATTGTACTTTGATAGGCTAGTCGATACGCTTAGTCTCGTTTTAAAACGAAAACAAGTCGGCCAAAAGATATCAATAGGTTTTCCTCGGTATCTCAAACTCGACAAATATCACCAATCAGAAAGTTAGGACAACATGAACCGTCCTACTGGAATAATGTGCATTGTGTATCTTGTCTAATAATTAATGTTTGTCATTCAATCGCATCCATGTTGTCCTCAGTGATATTTGGGATAAAGCATTATCTTAATTTTAAAACTTTGTTATAAGAATGAAATGTACTGAAAGAAGTGAGCGCCTGCTTGGCACAAAACCCCTGTGTACTTTCTGGAACCCGTTCAACTCTGTTTGTAAACTTGTCCAATTCAATTTATTTAATCAATCCTTTAGGAAAAATCATCTGATATTGTAATTGGTAATGCACGATGTATTGACACAAGGAAATCCTATCAGCTCGTTTAATTAGTCTGAGAACTTATTAAGACATCGTGGAGGTGATTTTCTTTAATTCGTGGGTCAGTGTTGTATTGTTTGATTTGTGATCTATGATATCATCTTGCCTAACATCCTACCGACAGCTTGCCTTTCAGAGAACATTTTCGATACCTTATTGGGTTTGGTGACCCATTTCCTTCAATAACATTAGCCTTTGAATGCCATATCACTCTGAGATCTGACGGATAACGGTATCGTTAGATACAATAAGAGGCGAAGTGTCCACGGTGAAATTAAACCATGTAACTACGACGCTACCAAGGATGTGTTTTATGTCTTTAATTAACATTCAACTTACGGATAAATGTTGACACACTCGAGATTGAGTGGTTATGAGCTTGTGAAACTAGTTTAATTCATTGTTAGTCTCGTATAATCGTATAGCTGTGATTTGGGTGTTTATGATGGCACTGTCGCCGCCCAGGGCAGCACAGCGCAAAACTTTCAACAAAGAGAAATTTCCAAATTTAGAAGAAGCTGAAATATTTGTTTGGAGAAGAAGAATAAAAGACAGAAAATGCACCACAATTCGGCCGTTAGCTCAAAATTTCCGAAGACTGGACATTAAAATCCAAGATAATTTTTCTTCGAATATGTTATAGAAATTTAATTTGAAGCCACAAGATTTAACATTTCATATTTGTTCCAAATCAACCAAGAAATAATTTGAGGGGAGATAAATAACATACATATGTTTAGATTTGTGCACTATTTGTTTTCATTCTGACATATTTAAGTTTAAACAGAAGTAATTTGGGTAGCAACTCGTGGGCCTGTGCAGCTATTGAACCATCGAAACGTTCACACAAACCGCCCCATGTAAATTTTGTATTTCGTCTTTCGTTCACAAGTCTGTATTATTACTCCACAACTACCCAATCATCAAATAAATAGTGTTTATTTTGGTACAATAGGAAACATTTTTTTGCTTTTTATCGTGAATGGGTTTTAACGACGTTCTTTCTATTTACCGGACTGGGTGACAAAGTGGTGACGCCCTCGACTTTCGCATAGACAAGCTGGGAACTGGGTTCGATTCACAGATCTGACGCAAAAAGGTATGTGATCACATGCTCAACAACGCGGATTTCAATCCGGTTACTTCTATTTCCTCTCCCGCTCGTTCAATCATTTGTGATTATTGTAAGCTGGTAGTTATATCAGTAGATTTAACCATCAAATCAATTTGTGTATTCCTGCGTGACGTGTTTTGTGTTTTTTTCCACTAAATCGAGTGTAAGTACAGTGTAGTATTGCCAGGAAAAATAGCCCTTTAAAGGTAATATAGGTACTAAAAGCCTTAATTTTGTCATTACTTATATCGAGGCACCGAAGTTTTCGCTTTAGCATACTTGTACTCCGAGAACGTCTAGAAAGATGTGCGCTTTGTTAGTTTGCTAGCTGGGTTTATCGCCCTTTGAATAACTTTTCAAAACGTTTATGATACCGCCACCATATTTTTTTTAAAATCTTTTTTTCTGATCATTTCTCTTGTAGTAACTGAAGATCTTACTTATCTATACTTTGTGTTTGGATTAACATGTAAAGGGCCATTCACTCCAGTCAGGTTATACTTGGCAAATCATTTATTTTTCTTTTAAAGACAACTTTTAAAAGTAAACACGATAACTATTTGGTATGTTTCTTTAGTTTTATTACATGTATACATGTACATTTTGTACATACAAGAGTTATGTACCTTGACGGATGATAAGTGCGATCAGGAGTTAGACCTAATATGAGCGTGGACTGGCAAACAAGCAGTCATCAGTGCACAAAGCGATAAATGGCTAATGGACATTTATCTGTTAAATGACACAAAGAAAAAATATGAACGTATTATGTACTGTTGATGAATTGATTGTACACTCTTTTCAGGGAGCACATGGCTGCATGTTGGAATATATCGATATGTAGCAATGGTTGGTGAACTCCGCTCTTTCATATTCATCGCCTTAAAAGGCATGTTCGACGATATAAGCTGAATTTCACTATCACTTGCGGAAAAGTCAGGCCACCATCATCATCATTAACATTCCTTTGTTCTTCCTTTACTCAGTCTGAAATGAATTGAAAATACACCGAATTTATTACTCAATAGCAGTTTATTTCGATTTTTAATGACTGAACTGTCCAATGAAATAGGAAACTACCAAAATAGTTTACCAAATGATTATATAGAGTATGCGTTACATTTGATTGCAGCAATACATGCCAAACCTATCATAAATACTTTTTGTCACAGCCAATTTAGTTGGACCTTAAGTTTTCATCTGAAGCTTTCTTTCCGGGTCTGCCTTAATTTAATTAGTAAAATATTAAGCTCACTGTTACTGTATCGCCGTTCGGAGTCCCTCCTCTGTTGACTGACCATCCATTGCGTGAGTCGGTCGTCTGTTGCTGTGAGTCCTTGCACAGTCAGCTGTGGACGACTCACGGTGTTAGTGAAATGTTTGCTGTATCTGTTATCATTCACCGTCTCGGATCTCGTGCTTGTTCCTGGATCCTGGAACTGGAGGCTGAATGACGGTAGGCGAGGACCACGTGCACCCTGAAAATAATCAATATATACATGTATGGACAACGGAACCTTCTTTCTCTGACTTTCGATAATCCGAACTGGCTGTCTTAAGACTAATCAACGATTACTCAACGAGCAAAATTCAGAAACTACTTACCCCTGGTCGAAGTTGCCTGTTTCGGAAATCCCTGGTCGCTACAGCATGCTTATCAATTAGTTTCTCTACTTCCGCCTCGAATTCTACAATGTTGTGGGCAATTTCTGCTGGATCTGGTGCAGCGCGCGCAACTGTCCTGGTTCCTCTTGCGGCATTTGGTCTGGCAAAGACCCGGAAGTTGAATGGAGGAGGGAAAATAGAATCGTCACTGCTTGAAGAAGACGACCTGCCGTCGTCATCTATCTCTAATTCCGACATTTCGTTTTTTTCCAAAATGTCGTGAATCAGTGTCATTGCCTGGTACTCACCAATCCCTCGTCTGCAAGCCATCATTTGTGATAAGTCAGACAATCTGCTGTTTGTTCTTTGCAATATGGCTTTCTTCATGTCATGACGCGAAGGTGTAGGCGTTCTCTTCCATCCACTTGATGATCTGTCATCTCCACTTTCGTATTCACTTCCATACTCGTCATCTCGTGACACTTCTTCTTGAAGATCTTGTTTGCTTCGCTTTATCCCTCGGAAGAAATTTGATAGTCGTGATGAAAGGCTGGAAGAAAATCGACTGCTCTCCATTTTGGTTGATGTGTCACTGCTCGATACATCTTGTGTCAAATCTGGTGTTTCGTCCCGGTAGAATGGGATATCTATTTCGCTTTCGACGGCTACGCTCTGTGATTCCGAATATTCCTCCATGTTAGTTGGGGGATACATATGTAGACTTATTACGTCATCATTCTCTGTATCTGTCATAGACAGAGCTAACTGACATTTTTCTACAACATCCCTCGTCGCTGGTGAAATGTAGTTCTCCAGATCCCTTTCTGAGTTCATAGAACGAGAACTCTTGCTAAGGACTTCCGAAATTTTCGCGTCATCAGCACGCGACCGCGGGTCCCTGACCTTCGTGAATGTACAACCCATATTTGTCTATATTTTAAGATGAAATAGTAAATAAGTGTCCATCATATTGTATCTAGGCTAGAGTTGCGCGATCCCGAAATGCATATAGAAACAATGATTCTGACGTCATAATACTTCAAGGACTATGACGTCATAATGGTTTCATGGAATAACTTTGTTGACTATTTCAAACGACTTATTTTTCTACATGTGTTATCATTATCTATAAAAAATACTTACTTTTAAACGGAATCCATTACGAGGTTAATCACTGTATAAGTACCTCTGGCTTTCCCTCAATATAGATCTAGAAACAGTGACCGAGTAGCTAGTCCGGTGGTGGGAAAAGGAGGTTCTGCGTTCGAACTCAGGTTTGCCCCTTGCATTTCCCACTTTTCTTCTACGCTATAGAACAAGTTCGATTCTATCATATATATTTCAGGTTCTCTTTCACCAGTAATTTCTTATAAAATGTCCTGTTCGTTCAGAAACGCTGTTAGAAGAATTTAAAAACAAGATTCTGTCATTTTTGAAGACTCATGTGATTCCAATATGAAAAGAAAGCTTCATTAACGTGTGATGTTTCAATTTTCTTTCTTTTCCTTTTCACATAATAACGATGCTGTCAGTAGTGTACACTGTAACAGCTGTAAGATAAAATGTTTTAAACACAAGTTTAAAAATAAATGACGTGTAGCATTGTGGTTGGCTGAAGGTATCTATTATCTGTTCTCTTAACTTTTATTTTTTTAGATATTTACTGTAATGTAACAGGCCTATATTGTGAAAACGTCGATATCTTGTTTCAACTTAGTCTTAGATTTTTTTCTTGTATATTTGCAAACTTATTTTGGTAACATGATAAACAGGATCTGGCGTTCGGTTCGATTCTATAGAGTTAAACATTATCACAAAACCATCACTTCGGGAGATATCCGCTGATATAAAAAATCACGTCCTTTATTTCCGAACAATCTTTAACTTTTTACTAGAACTGCAAAATGCGGCAATCCAGTAGAGGGGTGTTTATTAAACTCGATCACAAACCGGTATATAGAAAATAAAATATACCGATTTAATCAGGAATAAACGGAACGAAATTACATTTTAAAAATACAAGCTGACTTATAGTTAGCTTGTTAGTAATAAAAACGAGCGATCCGAGACGAGAGGTTTCGTAAACAACGTTCAACTCTTCAGAAAGTGACTGATGGTAATTCAATTTGGGGTAGAGTAATTCAAACACGAAGAGAATTCATAAACAACTGTCAGTGAAATGCTTGTGACCACTCCACCATACGGAGAGTTATGTCGCGTTTTGTCAGCGTAATCACTATAAACATGTTGGTAGGGGGACATGTGGCAAATGTTCATTGAGTCCCAGACAGCCCCTAGGGGCCATACAGTGAAAGAGTAAAGGGACCTAACACATTCATTAGCTTCTGCTAGACGGGTCAATACAGTCACGTCACTCCTAATTCCATGATGTATAGCTCAACATCACATACACAAAGTCTTTCAGAGCCAAGGGAACACAATCCACCATCTTGGACTCGTATGACTACTTCTAGTGCAGTCATCTTCTCTAAATTACAATTTAAGATATTTCCTGGAGAGCTTCCCTTCAATTCTCATCTAAATTAGCACTTGTCCATCCTTTAAGTAGTACGTTAAATTTCTTCACTAAGTTCCGCTGCAGGATTTAAAAGCAAGTTTTCGTTATTTTTGAAATTATTGGCGACAATCTGATAGCGAGGAAGTCATAACGAGGCTGGCGTGACGGTACTGTTTTTTATCAATAGGTCATTTCCTGTTGGTGAGCGCTTTGTAATTGACTTGAGATTTTCATCAATGTCTAATTTACAAGTCAGCCGAGCCATTGTTCTCGGAGAATTTGTCACCGCCTGTGGCAATGACACCAAAGGTCTAGCTGGTTGGGATGGGGTTTAAATGGCCTCAACTTCCTGGAATGTCACTTCCAGAAGATTTCATCAAGCATCCAACAAAATTAAATTTTTTTTTTATCAAGGACACTTTATATATGCAAATGCATTGTTCTTACTCATCTTTATACAATAGGGAAATGCTGACGGACACATTTGTTTACGGAAAACGTCATGTTTTGTTTCATCCTTCAAAACGGTTTGTCCTTTTATTTCATCTTTTATGTGATAGTAGTCATGGTGACGACAATATGTCTTGACCTCCGTTACAGCAGGTGTATTAAAGTCAGCCAGTGCAGCGTCAATCCAATCGTTACGTAGAAAACAGCTGTTACAGCTCAGGACGGACGTGAAAAAGACCCAATCTGGGGAAACATCACTCCTATAAAAATCATTTTACATTGCTGATTATGAAATAACATTCATGTGATGTCCACTGGTGCTAATTTTGATTACGACCTAACATCCGGGTACAGACAATGTAGATTTAGTGCATTTGCACTCAGTCGTACGAAAGTTGAGCGGCAGCACGTATAATATTTTCAGTAACAAAAACGTGAATTGAGGAAACTAAGCAAAATAATATCTTTCGTCATATTATTTCTATGTGAGTGTGCACTGTACATAAGATGTTTGTAAATCCATACTTAACTTGAAAATTTCTCCAAGTGAACAACAGGGGAGAGATATATAAGACGCCAGATCTTCTGAATATGGATTCCGTTATGGGGAATTTTAATTGTGGTCAAATTACACAGGTGGTATCTAAATACGGATTCTATAATGATGTTCATTATATGTAAATTACTGTAAAATGTGCACGACTATTAGCACAACTGGCCCCACTTGTATAAAACATCTCAACTTGCGATTTCCTCAAGTCGAGATTTTCCTCAGCTAATATCTCCTTGAAAATATCTTGTATGAAAATTCCTCAAGGAATTTCAGGAAATCCTAGCCGATGACTTCCTCCTGTTCCTTGAGAAAATTTTATGCAAGCCGTTTTTGAGGAGATATCAGCTGAGGAAAATATCGACTTGAGGAAATCTCAAGTTGAGATGTTTTATACAAGTGGGGCTAGGTCTCTTAACATGATTCTGTTATATAGATATGTATATAATTTCAATGTCTGTAAACACAGTTCTGTTATATAGATATGTGTGTTACGTCAATGTCTGTAAACACGGTTCTGTTATATAGATATGTGTGTAACGTCATTGTCTGTAAACACGGTTCTGTTATATAGATATGTGTGTAACTTCAATGTCTGTAAACACGGTTCTGTTATATAGATATGTGTGTAACTTCAATGTCTGTAAACACGGTTCTGTTATATAGATATGTGTGTAACGTCATTGTCTGTAAACATGGTTCTGTTATATAGATATGTGTGTAACTTCAATGTCTGTAAACACGGCTCTGTAGTATATATATGTGTGTAACGTCAATGTCTGTAAACACGGTTCTGTTATATTGATATGTGTGTAACTTCAATGTCTGTAAACACGGTTCTGTTATATAGATATGTGTGTAACTTCAATGTCTGTAAACACGGTTCTGTTGTATAGATATGTGTGTAACGTCAATGTCTGTAAACACGGTTCTGTTATATAGATATGTGTGTAACTTCAATGTCTGTAAACACGGTTCTGTTATATTGATATGTGTGTAACGTCAATGTCTGTAAACACGGCTCTGTTATATTGATATGTGTGTACATCATCAATGTCTGTAAACACTGTTCTGTTATATAGATATGTGTGTAACTTCAATGTCTGTAAACACGGTTCTGTTATATTGATATATGTGTAACGTCAATGTCTGTAAACACGGCTCTGTTATATTGATATGTGTGTAACGTCAATGTCTGTAAACACGGCTCTGTTATAGCGATATGTGTGTACATCACCAATGTCTGTAAACACTGTTCTGTTATATAGATATGTGGGGACATCATCAATGTCTGTAAACACGGTCCTGTTATATAGATATGTGTGTAACGTCAATGTCTGAAAACACGGTTCTATTATATAGATATGTGTGTAACGTCAATGTCTGTAAACACGGCTCTGTTATATTGATATGTGTGTACATCATCAATGTCTGTAAACACTGTTCTGTTATATAGATATGTGGGGACATCATCAATGTCTGTAAACACGGTTCTGTTATATAGATATGTGTGTAACGTCATTGGCTGTAAACACGGTTCTGTTATATAGATATGTGTGTAACGTCATTGTCTGTAAACACGGTTCTGTTATATAGATATGTGTGTAACTTCAATGTCTATAAACACGGTTCTGTTATATAGATATGTGTGTAACGTCAATGTCTGTAAACACGGGCTCTGTTATATTGATATGTGTGTAACGTCAATGTCTGAAAACACGGTTCTGTTATATAGATATGTGTGTAACGTCAATGTCTGTAAACACAATGTCTGTAAACACGGCTCTGTTATATTGATATGTGTGTACATCATCAATGTCTGTAAACACTGTTCTGTTATATAGATATGTGGGGACATCATCAATGTCTGTAAACACGGTTCTGTTATATAGATATGTGTGTAACGTCAATGTCTGTAAACACGGTTCTGTTATATAGATATGTGTGTAACGTCAATGTCTGTAAACACGGTTCTGTTATATAGATATGTGTGTAACTTCAATGTCTGTAAACACGGTTCTGTTATATTGATATGTGTGTAACGTCAATGTCTGTAAACACGGTTCTGTTATATTGATATGTGTGTAACGTCAATGTCTGTAAACACGGCTCTGTTATATTGATATGTGTGTACATCATCAATATCTGTAAACACGGTTCTGTTATATAGATATGTGTGTAACGTCATTGTCTGTAAACACGGTTCTGTTATATAGATATATGTGTAACTTCAATGTCTGCAAACACGGTTCTGTTGTATAGATATGTGTGTAACGTCAATGTCTGTAAACACGGTTCTGTTATATAGATATGTGTGTAACGTCAATGTCTGTAAACACGGTTCTGTTATATAGATATGTGTGTAACTTCAATGTCTGTAAACACGGTTCTGTTATATAGATATGT